TCCTCCTCCTCCTCCTCCTCCTCCTCCTCCTCCTCCTCCTCCTCCTCTTCATCCTCTCCTCCCTTCTGTCACTGACGATGTTACCTAGTTGGGTAATGAAACATCTGCAAGAAAACAACCCAGCTCAGAGATCATCAAAGTACTTCTCATTTCAATCCTGAACTAAAAAAAAATAATTCTCTTCTATTGGTCCCAGGTGAGTGATCCATCTTCATGGCTTTCAGCCGTGGCAATTGGGCCACCCAAAATAAAGGATCTCCTGTTGCTATCATCCCCACTTGAAAAGCCCCCACCACCTACAATAAATATCCTAAGATTTGGCCGGGAATCTTTATGCTTTTCAATCCACTATTGGAAGGTGGGAAGGCTGCAAAAATTTGACTGTATTTTCTTCTCCTTTGACTCCTAGAAATTCTGAAAGGTTCATGTTATTCCCAAATCCTGGAGGATTTAAAGTGAAGGCTTGGCCATACTAACCCTCCGCTTTCTGCCCTTTCCCTTCATCCCTGAATTCCCGGGGAGTTAGAAGTCTTCATCCTGCAGGCACCTCTGCTTGGAATTTAACAGCTGCTTTAGCTGGGATTAACTCTGGCTGCCCTCTTTTGTCCTCTACCCCATTCATGCCGAGAATGGACCCTGAGGCGCCGGGAAAGGATGGTCTTCCACAGGGATAAATGGATAGCCCTGGACCTTGGGCTTATTGCAGAAACACCGTGGGAAATGGTTATTTAATCTTTTGAGGATTAACCTGGCAAATCGGTCTTGTCTCCTACAGAGCCAAGAAGGAGGCAGGTGTCAGGGGAGCTATCAGCCACCTGTACAGGAAGTCCTCGACTTATGGGCACCGTTGAGCCCAAAACTTCCACCGCTAAGTGAGACGAGTGAGTTTTGCCCCGTTTTAACACTGTTCTTAGCACGGTTTGTTAAGTTAGTAACACGGTCGTAAAATGAATCTGGATTCCACCTGGCTTGTCAAAAGGTGGCAAAAGGGGATTGGGTGACCCTGGGACACTGCAACCATCATAAATAGAGGAAGAAGAGGTAGAAGAAGAATAGAATAGAATGAGAAAGAATAGAAGAGGAGGAGGAGGAGAAAAGAAGAAGAGAGGAGGAGGAGGAGGAGGAGGAGGAGGAGGAGGAGGAGGAGGAGG